TGCATGGGAAGCACCAAAGCAGCCCAATATGGGAAAGAACATCCCACTTCGACACTTCTTTGGTAGAACTGGTACCTTTGGGAAAAAACGTTCTATCATAATGAGGAGTCAATCAATAGAAAGAATAGAACACGATAAAGCTCCCAGCGTTAATCAATCCCTGAAAGATGCGCCAACCTTCGACATCGTCAAGCAATCTTAGAGTTGACTGGAAGCATATCTGGCCTTTACGATAACTCGAGGTGACCTACTGATGTATGGAGTTAGTGGCGCTATCCTCCCTGACAAATCTGGTGACAATTCGCCACCCGCGAGGGATAGAGAGCTTGATGAGCCTTGAGCAGAGGATCGAACCATTGAGTATTGCTTGTTCATCAAGATATATGCCGCAAAGCACCTCTACCACTGCACCACGCGCGCTCTAAGAAAAAAAAAAGCAATACGCAAGTCAGGGATGCAAAAAGGAACTTTATGAGGGGCCTGAGAGTGAGAAACAGGAGAAAGGATGAGAATGTCACCGCTATACAGAAAATGAATGAAAAACTATTCAAAATTTTCAAAACACGCCTGAGATAGTGAAAAACCATCACCATGAGAAATGCTATTGGAAGTTTTTACAGGTCAACTGAAGTCGCTTTCTGGATACTTGAAAGGCCGTCTCACGAATTGTGCGGACCCCAGTACATGAAAATGCGCTGGTTCAGCAGTTTTGTTCCCTGTAGTCTCAAGGTAAGCCTAAACGGAACTTCCTCACATCGTCATCACATCAAAGAAGTCATGGGTCTTTGTGGATTAAAGGAGACTACCACCTGGCGACTGATAGCCATCAAACGGCGGTCACTCCTGGTACCGTTTATTCTTAGCTGGGTTATCCGGATGGGAACGTCGGACTCCTTCTTAGCCTGAGTGGCCCTGCTGTGGGGTTGAACTTCCGCTGTACTCGCAGACCAACACCTAGGACCACCTCCGAGCCCCAATGAGGCGGTAAACCATTTAGGACGAAAGTCGCCTCGCTTCGAGATAATAATTGAGTATTATGAAATACAGTGATTACAAAATGAAATGATCGAAAGTAAAACAGGTGAATATAATGAAGTATATAGGGAATATAGGAAATAAGTACAACAGTACTCATTACGAAGATGGCAGAATGACAGAACGAAATGGGACTGTTGAGGTCCGAACTTTCAGTTCAAAGCCAAAATGAAACGACATTCTGAACCTCAGACGAAAATGGAAATAAGAACAGGAGCCTCGGTAGTACAACTGGTTAGAAAACGTTACCGGAAACGGTGAAAATCGAGTTCGGTTTCCGTCTAAAGTTCAAAATCTTGTATATCACTATAATTCATTAGACATATGATCATAACATCATACTATCGCTAAAAAGAGTTAATTAAAAAGAAGCTCCGCGAGAGGAATTGTCAAAGTCCGGAACTTGCACTTGAATGACAGAATAAAATGAGACTGTTGAAGGCCGGAACTTCTGTTGATTGACAAAATGAGACAGAACTGTCAAAGCCTGGAACTTCTAGTTGAATAATATATTGAAATAAGACAGTGAAAATCCGGAACTTCCGAACAATTGCAGACCCTTGGAAGGTCATTTTTTTACTGTAATAATGGTAAAAATCAAGATATGCAGATTACTTTTTTCCTTGTTCAAAAGTGCGTTAAAAACGCTACCTATTTATGTTCTTTATATTCAAAATACCTAACTTAGTAGTTTTTGAAGGACTCTGAAAACGACTTTTGTACCCGAAAAAGGCCATTTGCGGGAACTTCATTTTGCAGATTTATTATCCAAAAGCATTTGAAATTGCTTGAATTTAGTACCTTCCTATCGCGCATTTCTTGTGAACACTATGATGTACAACTTGTCTATACTTGCTATAAGATGAAGCTCTCTAGGAAACGAATTCGCTTGTTACTCATGCACGAATGGCGCGCTCGGGCCGTCCACAAAAAGCTCCTGTAATCTTGCGCGCCGCTTCATCAGCATTTTCCCCTACGAGCCAATCGTGCATTAGTGGCAAGCGCGTTTGGTCCCAGTACAGCTCCATCTTATAGCAAGAATAGGCAACTTGTACATCATAGTGTTCACAAGAAAATGCGCAATGGGAAGGTACTAAAATCAGTCAATTTCAATTGCTTTTGGATAATAAATCGGCAAAGTAAAGTTCTAAATGGGTCTTTTCGGGTACAAAAGTTGTCATATTCAATGTTCCATAAAATCCCATCATATGAAACACTCTATGTGTAAAAAACGTATAAATAAATACATTTTTAACGAACTTTCAAATAAAAGAGGAAAAAAAATACATATCTTTATTTTTACTATTACTACAACAAAAAGAAAAAGAACGGTAGAGTCATATTTGTACATCCAATACGTTTTCACAAATGAACAATGCGCACAAAATTCTATTTGGGCATAGATTTGTGGAAACAAATAGTAAACAGTAAACAAATGAGAATAAAAACAAGAAAGATAAACAAAATAAATCATGAATAAGAGAATGATTTGTTTGGACTCATTAATGAGGCATAGAAACACTGCGATGAAAGTAGTTAGCAGAATTTGAGACCAGTACCTTCAACATCGGAACCATCTGATACTCAATAAGTAAGACTTCATCTAAGCGAAACACTATGATCTACGCAGATTTAGCAGCAGCAGGGGAGAGCGCCCATGGCGAAGTGGTTGTAGAGGAGCGCTGCGACACACATGATCGATCAGTCGACGGTCGATGGCTCGATTCCGTGCTCAAGGTTCACAAAGAATTAATTCGCTCGAGGTTGGTGGGATCGGTGCCAGATTTGCCTGAAAGGATAGAAGCACTGATTCGATAGTTCGGTAGGTCACCGCGAATCAGTCAGCTATAAGGGGCAGACAAGTACAATCACTTCAAACGATGCGTGATGAGGTCAAATGGACGGCGCATTCCCTCAGGGATTGATCAAAGCTAAAAGCTTCATCCTTCATCCTTTGACAGCAAGATATTGATGATATACGCTAAATATAGGTAAGTACAAGTGCTACAAAAGTCACGGGTTACCCCGGGTGACATAAAGGATAGAGTTGATCAATCCCTGAGGGTGACACCATATAATCAACTTCTAATTTTAACTTCGTTTGAGGTGACTGAATGCATATCTGGCCTTTACGATAACTCGCGGTGACTTCTCGTAATACCAAGTCAGTGCTGCTTATCCTTCCAGACTAGCATGAGACCAGTCTGGTAACAATTTACCGACCCCGGCGGGATGGATGGCTTGGTGAGCCATGGGCGCGGGGTCGAACCATCGACCATGTACGCGTGCGACATAGAGCACCTCTAACCGCTGGCGCCACATGCGCTCAGGTGACATGATATAAGTGTAAATATAGTATACAAATATGTACATAATAAACAAGGTGAGAAAAATGATACCTCGATATAGGTGAAGTAAATATGAAGAAAAAGTTCGACGCTCATAAAAAGAACTCAGGAAGGAATCAAAAGATACTAACGTTGTGCAAGTTTTAGTATAAGAACATACCGTGAGATTCCTTCATTTTCTTGTTGGAGAGCTATTCCCCTATCTACAAACTGTCCTTTTCTTTGATTAAAACCTGCACGAGGACGGTACTTCTTTTCCCTCAAAATTTGATAACTAACGTTTCGGCGGCAACGCCTCCGTCAGAGACTTTTATATATAGTTTATATGGGAAATGTCACCGGTCTTGCGTGATACACTTTGAAAGAGAATGGGAAGAATAAGTGGTGAGTACGCGGTAGCCTCGGTGGTGTAGTGGTAGCAAGCGTTCTTGGTATGGATGAAAGGCGGGTTCGACTCCCGCCTGAGATCGAGTTTTCCCTTGCCACTCAATTCTCTTGTGAATATTTGAAACATCATAACATTACAAAAAAGAAGTAAAAACAGAGCAAATCTCAGAATTATATCGCTTGGATTTCTCAAAGTGACAGTCACAAGGACCGGTGACCTCTCCCTATATTAACTCAGCTAAGGGTAAGCCGTTCCAGGAATGACTACCGTTTTGGAAGGTGTCGGTCTCAAAGGAGTAACCTCCCTTTGGTCCAGAAAAGCCGGCGACTGCTCTAATGCGATGACGACCTGAGAAAACCCCAACTGGCTTACCTCAGGACTCCAGGTGACAGACCAGCTAAACCAGCACAGTTTTTCCGTGCTGCGACTCGCACTATCAATGAAGACCGACCGTCCAAGTTTCTAAGTCCAAGCAGAACTTTCTCGAAATTCGTACTCCTCCCATAAAACTTGATAATTAACGTTATGGCGACTTCGCCTGCCTTCGTCAGAGCCTAGGCGTAGAATTGAGAATATCTGCTGGAAGATTTTCATAATAAGTCGAAAGAACGATTTTCATCAAACCTCGGCGGAATGTAAAATGAAATAGTTCAACAGTCCGCCTATCTCTAAACCTCGGCATCACTAAAGAAATGCAAAAATCCCTTGGAACTGTCCTTTTCTTTAGTTGAAACTTGCACGAAGTTGTTTCTTCTTTTCCCTCAAAATTTGATGGCTAGCGTTTCGACGGCAACGCCTTCGTCAGAGCCTTGATTAGAGTCAGAGCCCCGCTGTACTTCGCAACGCGACACCCACGAACGCCTCGCAGCCACGATGAGCCGATAAACCATTAGGGAGGCGTGTAAGTATTATTTAGAAAAAGGCCCTTCGTAGAAGACTTTCCATTTTCATTACTCATGCTAAGGTTTAAAGAAAGCTGAACTTCTTAATTCTCGACTTCTCAAGGATTTTTTCTCATTCAGACAAAAAATTCTACGATAAATCCTACTTTCTTCGCCTCTGCATAAAGCAAAAAATTACTCCTAAATTCTTCAAAAATAGAAATTCACGTGAAATCTTTGCCTTACCAGAGACTCCTAAGAGAACTGAGTGATAAGCAAGAATGGCTGGTGGGCTGAATAGCTATTACAGAGAGATCTTGTAGAATGAGTGGTGAATGGGGAAGCGGTGGCCTCAGTGGTGTTGTGGTAGCACTCGTCCCCGGCATTGACGAAACGCGGGTTCGACTCCTGGTTGAGGTCGAATTTTTGCTTATCACTCAATCTTCTTAGGATTATATGAAACATCTGAACACTGCGAAAAAGCAGTGAAAACATCAAAAATCTAGGCTTACTAGCGAATACGCCGTCAATTGCCGAACATCCCCATCTCCGATTGTTCCCCAATTTTTACAAAAAAAAAAATACAAAAAACTCTAATGACCAACGTTCCTATAACCATTGAATTTACTCATCAATCATATCTTCTCTAGTGATTGACTGAGCCGGGTTCATAATGTTGTTACACGAGCAATTTGTTCGCCCAACTTTTCGACAAATTTCGTCCTCCTTCAGAGCCGATTTTTCGAACGAAACAAATTGTTTTCATTAACTACTTGTAAGTATGATCGTCATAATATCAAGGATGATTCACGAAATAAAGAGATCAAAAGGAGGAACGGAAGTAGATCAAAGGTGGAAACTTAGTAGATCAAAATCGGATGAGAGTGAGCATAGGCAGGACTTGGTTAAACGATCGAGGACAGGAATGAAAGAGTTGAAGACAGGAACTGAGCAGCTCGCAAAACGGGGATGAGAGATCCGGGTACGGACCAAACAGATCCGAAACAGGAATGAAACGGATCGACGATAGGATTCGAGTAGATCAAAAGAGGAGGACGGTGAGCAAAGCCATGGCTCGGGTAGATCAAGAATGGAAATGAAGGGGATCAAGGCCGAAATTCTCACAAAATCCGCCGTTTCCCCGGACGACTCGGCGGCGCAAAATGGCGACGAGCTTATGAATTAGTCACACTAATTCCTGATTCGAGGCATAATTTCCGGCGGTAGCGGCACGGCACTACCCAATTGGCGATGGAGCACGGAATCCATTGCAGGGGCTGAGCAATTCAGGAAGCCGTCTCTTTCGAATAGAACGATGTTAGGATGTCATGCTCGGCTATCCCGTGGCTAGCAAGTGTGAGCGAATTCTGAATGGAAATAAACAGCAGTGACGTCATCGTCATGCTTCACATTTCGAATTTGTTAACAATAATACAGATCTTTCGTGCAGCGGTTTAGCACATGCTCCCGGAAAGAGTAAGATCTGGTTTCAAATCCCGGCTGACGCAAACGTTTTTGCACACCACTCTGCATCATTTGGTATTTAAAGACATCATAACACCGCAATAGGCGGTCAAATAGAATGATTTCGGGTTGTTAACAGTGGTTAAACATTGAAATATCATATAACATAAAGTGATGAGACGGAATTGATCACTTGAAGGTTCGACGCGAATCTTCTACGTTCCACAGGTTTTGCCGCGAACCGTAAATCCTTGCTGACAAGCTAAATCGCCCGCGAATCTTTTTCCATTCACCCTGTTGGATGCTAGAGTACCCGATGGATCCACCTCGATCCAGCAACTCACTCAAGCATCACGCCTTTGAAGTTCTTTTTATGGCCGCTTTTAGCGCTGGCATGATACTATAGGTATACCCGGTGATGCACAGTGATGTGCGAAACTTTTGCGCCAGTCGGGACTCAAACCCGTATTCATCCTATCCGGGAGCGTACGCGTAAACCCGTTGCGCTACTGACGCTTGTTTTACCATCACCCTTTCTACGCTACAACGAATCTATCCGTCAGCAACCAATCGTCAACGGTTTGGCCGAGGTAGCCGGTATCGACATTGAACCTGGTCACGCTCACAGATATTTGATATAGCATGGTCAACTGGAATTCTCTCTTAGCGGTGGTATGGTATTATAGATAAACCCAATGATGTAGAGTGGTGTGCAAAACTTTTGCACCAATGTTGACACCGACTACCTGGGCCAGGCTAACCCTTTGACGGTTGGTTGCCGACAGGTAGATGCGTTGTAGCGTAGAAAGAGTGGTGGCAAAATGGGCGTCATTAGTGCAATGGGTTAAAGCACACGCTTACGGATAGACTGAATTGTGAGCTCGAGTCCAGCTTGGCGCAAAAGTTTTGCAAATCGCTCTACATCGCTGCGAACATCATACTTTTTTCCTACTGCGCTTGAGAAAAAACCTGCCTATTTGCTCAATAGGCCTTTTGTTGCGCGTTGGACACCCCGAGTACCTCAGTCGGTAAAGTTCTCTTGTTCATCGCCTGTTATTAAGGTGTAACACATGCCCAGTCTAACTGGTTTGAGACGTTTCGCCATGTAGAAGGGATGGCCATATGATGAGGAATACAGACGACGTAAGCCAAACGAGCATATAAAGTAATATCCGCAAAGTGAAAATGTCTATCTCATAATTGTGAGTTGAGCTAATACGTCATGTAGTCTGTTATGGGCTTATGTACAGCCCAGTACACGTGTTTCGGCCTTCCAGCCTCGTCAGTCGGGCAAGCCCTTCGTCCGTAGACAATCCTCTCGGGGCTCCTACATCCTCTTATAAAGAGGTAGGCGACGACGAACGTTTTACATAATCGCCGTCAAGTGAAAAATCCCAAGATCGTCATTTTTCGACACTCGATTGCTCTTGTATGGTTTTTTTTCTGAAATGTTATACCATTTATTTCGAATATTTTATTAAAACCACGCTTAAATTTCAATGCTGTCTCATGATTGATAGGAAATCATCTTATTTGACCGCCGATTGCCGTGTTGTGATGTTTAAATAAACCCAGCGATGTAGAGTGGTGTGCAAAAACGTTGTGTCAACCGGGATTCAAACCCAGAATGGAATGCAAAACGAGCATCGATGGTGCGACGGTTTAGCACATGCTCCCGGAAAGAGTAAGATATGCGTTCAAATCCAAGCTGACACAAACGTTTTTGCATAACACTCTACATCATTAGGTTTACCTTATGATTATTATTTGAGCCAACATGTCATGCGGTCTGTTATAGGCTCTTGTACAGCTCGATACATGTGTTTCGGTGTTGTTGATTGCCAGAGAGAGAGTTGGGGAGTGGAGATGGGCTCCACGCGCGCCGTGAAGAGCATCACAGCCCCTCGGCCTCGGCGCCCTTCAATAATTACAATCAAATAGCTCAAATATTAATTATGAGATATATTAAAATTTGGGCATGCTCTTAATGAAACGCTCAAAATGAATTGAGAAAACTTATCTTGATTAGCTGACATGAGGTTGGGTCATTTGTCTAACAATCAACTTTACCAACCTCGCGTCAGCTAATTAAAAAAATCACTTGAAAATGCCGAGGTTTATAGAAACTCGAACTTTTAAACTCAAAATAAACGTGAAAACGTCTAATCGAGCTGTCGCCTTCACGATAGGCGAAAGTGTTGGTGGCTTAATTCAACTATCTGCGTTCGCAGGTGGAGATGATTTCTGCATCACAGAATTTGCTTCGTGAACGTCACCATGTCCGAAACCAACCGGTCATCATCAACAATGATTGTGGGAGAATAAGAGGGACGTAAGATATGCTGTAGGCAGACTACTAAGTAGCCGGATCATCCAAGTATCCATGTACGTAGAACTTTGCCAATGATAAGAGGTGTTTGTCGGAATGGCTGACTATATCTAGCTCCATCTCAAAGGATGCATGCAACTATACATAGTTATTGATCGGATACGACAATAGATAAGCGCATGTATGTACGGAAAACACTCTACTAAACGAAATAGAAGTGAACTTATAGAATCATGCCGATTTTGAAAGAAAGGACTGATGGTATATTCTGAACAGCGTGACGCGTGCAAGCACAGTCTGCCCTTCGCAGTTTTCTCTACCTAGTAATAGCCGACGTCCTTTTTTTCTGCAAATAATTTAGTGTAATCTTTCGCTTCAGCCTTTCCTAGAATGTAATGGGCCACCAGCTGAAAGCAATCACAGCATTACTCTGATTTACAGAAAAACGGAAGAGAGAGAAACAGAAAGAAAATGAAAGGGGGCAGTCGATATTAATTACCACTTTGCGTTTTGATACAGCGAGTACGAAAATGAAATCGTTTTTGAAAATGCGGAGAACCTATCATGAAATGGAAAGCATCTCAGGAGTATTTCAAAGCTGATAAATAGTTAATGCCCTGTGTATGACAATATGTGAGACTCTCTTAAGTAATACACTTTCACATGACATGTGAATGCCTCATTGACTCAGCGGATCACAAGACTGATGAAATGAAGAAACAATTTACTATCAACGGACAATTAGCGTAAAAACCATCCCGCGTATAGGGGCATCGTCGAGAGAGACTACTTCATCGAGCCGTACTCCACAAAGAAAACTGACTCAAGAGACAACGAAGAACTACAACGAAAAGACAAACGACTGTGGACAATCGACACGAATCATCGATTTTGAAGAGGACAAGGACGTCGAAACGTTAGTCGAATGAAAATTTGAAATCAATCTGTTGATACTACAAGGATTGAATAAATTATTAGAAGTTGAAGAATGAAGGTGAATGAGAAAAAAAACATTTTATCGAATGCTCAAGAAGACTGGAGTATCAGATATTCTTGGTTCTACCGTAATGTGAGAAACTGCTTTTGAAAGTATAATGAGGCGCGTAAAAAAGTTCCTAAAGGACCAGTCGGCATCTAACAACATGGGAAGAGAAACAGTGGTAACAAACCTGTGGTCTTGGTGATGTAGTGGTAGCACACGTTCCCGATCTAGGTGAAACAAGTGTTCAATCACACCTGAGTTCGACTTTGTGCATATCACTCAATATTCTTCTATGTATATTTGAAAATCATAGCAGTGTCAGAAAGCAGTGAAATTACAGAATTGTAGGTTATACATTTAGAAAAAGCTGTCAGCTCAATTAGGTTTGATGCCGATATGTGCCTACCACACCAAACTCTTCAATAGTTGGTCGTAGGTAGCTTCGATGAATCATATGGAAGAAAGAGTGGTAAGAAAGAGGTGACTTTGGTATTGTAGTGGTAGCACGCGTCCCGGTAAGGGTGATCGCGGGTTCAACTCCTAACAGTAGTCGGGTATTTGCATACCACTCAACGTTCTAACATGAAAAGAACTGACACCAAATGGCAGAAGCTGGGATGATTTTATTTGTACCACCGACGACTGTTCATAATTTAAAACATGTATCGTAATTCACACTAGTCTATATGAGAAAAATATGCTTGTTTTTTTTCATAGTCATTCCATTTTTAGTATCTTCCCAATCAAAATCTAAATAAAAAATCGCTCAACAGTCACGATTCACTAAATAAAGTAGAGATATTTGATGTGAACACGGATTGAACGCAAGTTCAACTCCCGTTTGCAGTTACATGTTTTGCATGTCACTCAGAGTACTTGATTGCATGACTAAAATATTTCTGAGAAAGAAAGGTTTTACAAGCCTTTCTTTGCTTATTACAAAATGACTAATCATCTCTGAAAGCTCATAGAGTCCTCTACAAAAGCAGATTTTCAGAAATATTCCTTAGATTATTCTGCCGATCTAAATCTTCACAGTAGAAGAAGCGGCATGGCAACAAAGTTAGCATATTCTAACTTCATTAGTTCTTCTTAGAAGTGTGAAAAATTGAGTGTTTGATCTTGGCAGATTTTCCTAATGAATTGTAATTTGCGTATCACTGTTCGTAGTGACAATAGGCTGTGGGAAATAAACAAGGAAAATGTGAAATGGCTTCACGTAAAAAAGAGCTATCTTCTCGAAGATTCCTCCCTTGATAATTTGCAATAAACACGTTAACATAAGAGACAAAATAAACTCTCTTGAAGTGCGATGATGAATGCGCATCTTGAGACCAAACCGCTCTGAACAAGTCTCCCCAATCACATGTAATCTCAGTACAGAGAAGAACTTCCCAGTTCAAATTTACTGTCTATGTCTCACCTACGCAATAAGTTCGTCCGAAACGGGTTTTTCTCATCATCAAGTGGTATTCTGCAGATACTATCCATATGACATGGCTGGAGTAGTATTGCATGAATTCAGCGATCATTTGATCTTGAGAGGTTCAAGAAAATCGTTTGCGCTCCAAAATAACTAGTGGGAACAAAATGAATAGAATGCGCTTTGCATTACGTTTGACTATGCATAGAACTTCGCTCAACCTCGGTATTTATCAAATTATTGAGTACAGTAGAATTACAGTACATTGAAAGTACCATGACCGACCTTTCGGCACGTTTCGCCTTTTGAAAGCCCGGAAAGATCAGAATTATTCCCAATATACTCCGTCCAAAACTCCCGTAACCCTGGCAGAAAAGGCGCCTCTAACAAATTTTTGTATCGCTTAGTAAAAGCTTCACATTAAAGCACTCACCGTTCAAGTCTTCTAATTATTCATTGGAGGCGCTGAGAGTTTTGCAAAAATGTGGCTGACTCAATTAAAGAAACTTAAAAGGATGTATGGTGCGATGTCGGAAGAAGCCGAAACGTCAACCATACTACTTTTATTGTATGTATTACTACCGTACTTAATCAACAATATTATCAATAATCTTAGATATGCTCAACAAGAAAAGCATAGATATTGAATAAATTAAATAGAGAGCAAATATGATGCAGCTTTTTTTTGATAAGAGTCTTTATTAATCGAGGAACCTTTCGGATGTCGAATGAATATAGGCATAAAGCACGCTGACGGAGATCACATCAAACCTCGCGTTCAC